AGGTCAGGTCAGGCTAGGTCAGGTCAGGCTAGGTTGGGTCAGGCTAGGTCAGGTCAGGTCAGGCTAGGTCGGGTCGGGTCGGGTCAGGTCAGGTTAGGTCAGGCTAGGTCGAGTCGGGTCAGGTCAGGTCGGGTCACGTTAGGTCAGGTCGGGTCAGGTCAGGCTAGGTCAAGTCGGGTCAGGTCAGGCTAGGTCAGGTCGGGTCAGGTTAGGTCAGGTCAGGCTAGGTCAGGTCAGGTCAGGCTAGGTCGGGTCAGGTCAGGTTGGGTCAGGCTAGGTCAGGTCAGGTCAGGCTAGGTCAGGTTGGATCACGTTAGGTCAGGTCAGGCTAGGTCAGGTCGGGTCACGTTAGGTCAGGTCAGGTCAGGCTAGGTCGTGTCAGGCTAGGTCAAGTCAGGTCAGGCTAGGTTGAGTTGGGTCAGGCTAAGTCGGGTGAGGTCGAGTCAAGCTAGGTCCGGTCCGGTCAAGTCAGGTTGGGTTGGGTCAGGTCAGGTCAGACTAGGTCGGGTCGGGTCGGGTCGGGTCAAGTCGAGTCGAGTCAAGCTAGGTCCGGTCCGGTCAAGTCAGGCTGGGTTGGGTCAGGTCAGGTCAGGCTAGGTCAGGTCGGGTCAGGTCAAGTCGAGTCAAGCTAGGTCCGGTCCGGTCAAGTCAGGCTGGGTTGGGTCAGGTCAGGTCAGGCTAGGTCAGGTCGGGTCGGGTCAAGTCGGGTCAGGTCGAGTCGAGTCAAGCTAGGTTGGGTCAGGTTGGGTCAGGCTGGGTTGGGTGACCCATGTGGATTTAGGTCAGCAGTATATTCTGCTCTCAGTCTCTGGAATAAGCCATTGATATTGCTAAAACATGGCTAGGTTTATCACTTTATTCTTCTGTTTGTAAAGTGTTTAAGTGGTGATATTCTAATATAAAATCGTCATCGTGCTGGGAACAGATAGGTTGACTTTACACATCTGCCTCATGCTGGTGAGGCATCGTGCCATCACTTGCCTTAGATGACTGGAGGGGGACCAGTGAGTCAGCTGCAGTCCATAGTCTGTGACATCGAGAGAGAGATTAGCATCTCACAGGCTGACGCTATGTGGTCCTTCCTGCTCCTGGTGGCTGTCTGGGGCCAGCGAGGTAGCGGAGATCACTGGAGTAGTGTGGTATCTTCCCTGCCCTCCTAGGAGACTTGGCAGGGGACGCACTGTCACTTGCTCTCTTTTCAGCCCCTGGGATAATCTCCGGCATCCTCTGAGCTCATGGATACGTTCAGGACGACGAGCCTGGTTTCTTGCCATTTAGGAAGGCCCCCCAAGCCGAGACTCTGGGAGAGCAAAGAAGGGGACGGTTGGGCGAAGCTGTAGTGGGATGGGGTGGAGACTGGGGTGAGAGTGGACATGAGATTCTGCAGGGACCTCCTGGGAGCAGTTGTTGGAGCAAGTTCAGCCCCTCTGGCGAGACTCCAGAGAGTGTGCTGGGAAACCAAGGCGAGTGGTGCGGCTGGCTCTCGTGGCCTGGCGCAGTCATGGCCACCATCCACAGCACAGGTGCTTCCATGTGCCCTGAGGAGGGACAGAAACACAGCCCTGGGCTCTGCCCTGAAGCCATCATTAGGACATCCTAGGAAGAGCCGCCTGAGGCTCTAGGAAAATAACCTGGTTATAAGTCTCTGTTAAGGAGCTGTGGTGGTGCAGTGGTTACGCACGCAGCTGCTAACCAAACTGTCTGTGGTTCAAACCCACCCAGCGACTCTGCGGGAGAAAAGACTTGGAGATGTGCTTCTGTGAAGATGACAGCCTAGGAAACCCTGTGGGACAGTCTTCCGTCCTACAAGGCTGTGAGTCAGGGTCACCTCAGCAGTACCTGAAGACACGCCTCCATTAGTGCCTCATTGTGTCAGTGTTAGTATCAGACGTCTGGACTGTAGAATGCCTCACACTGGTACATTACTGCACCATCCACAAAACCCTCCCTCATACCCCACGTGAAGTGCTACATGACTCGGTCTGTCAGCTGCATCACACAGTTGACACACACAGACTGCGTGAGTCTGAAGAGCCCTCAGCCAGTGCACTGTGCAGCCAGGATTGACAACAAACCCTGGATGTGTTCGTCATGTGTGTGAACACCTGCCGCCTCACAGGCACCATGCGGGTCAGGAATGCGCGACACTGATGGGATCCTGGCTCCACAGTAGCCCCTGAGCGTTGGTGCTGCTTTCCTCACAGTTTAAAAAATGTTGCTGTCGAGTTGATTCTGACTCACGACCAGAGACAGAGTACCCAGGAAGCAAGGTGTAAGCACGTGCTGAGGGCATCGACAAAACAGGGCACCAGTTGTCCAAAGCAAAGACCCAGAGATGCCAGGCAGATAGGATGCAAGGAAAAGGGAGCACCACAGTGGAAGGGAACCAGCCAGGCTCTAAGTGAAACTCATGCCAGCTCCAGTGCTGAGAATGTGCGGCTGGAAGTTAAGCTCACATAAGGGCATGAGGGTACCACGCTCAAAGGTGTTTAAGCTGTGAGACCCGACCACCTCAACACCTTCGTTGACGTCTGTCTCCTACGATCCGTTCCCATGTAATTGAAACGCCTTATGTCAGTAGGTGTCTTGGGCGTTTACAAGAGGTGGGTGTGGGTTGTTGAGTCTAACTCTTGCTACATTCAGCCACTGTGCAAGTGGATGCAACAAGAGTGGTTACCGGGCAAGGACAGCTTAGATTAGTAGATACAGGTCTTCGATCCATTTTGAGAGATTGATCTTACACATCCATGTCTGCTGATACACCAGTTTCAGCCAGGTCAGCCAGCAATGCTGTTTGATACAAACACAAGGGATTGTACTTGTGGACGTCCTGGTAACAACCAATGGGAACTCCAAGCCCAGATGACACACAAAAGTGAGGGAACTCAAATATGTCACCATCACAGTGAATTCAGTCAATTATGCCAAAGGGGCAGGGAGGTACCATTTTCTGAGCTCCTGTAACCACACAAGAGGAAGACAGAATCACCATCAGTAGCCCAAGGCTTATTTCTGCGAGGCCAGACATGCTGCCTTCCTCCAGCCCTTTCATCAATCCTACCACCAACCATTCCTCCCGCAGCACCCACCACCTCTCTGCTGGTTCAATAATTTGCTGCAATGGCCACATAGAACTCACAGATTATGGGGTTTATTAGGGAAGCAACAGGCTACAATTCAAGTTCAGGAACACACTCAGTCTCTTCAGCCTGCCATCAGCCAACAGTCTCTCTCCCAGCAGTGCTTGTCTCTTGGTGTGTGTCTCTCTCTCTCTGTCTCTCTCAGAAGTGTGTGTCTCTCAGTGTCTCTCTCAGCAATACATGTCTCTCTTGTCCCTAAGCCAGCAGTGAGAGACTCTTTCTGCCTCCAGGAAGGCTCCTTTTGAGCCTGGCAGAGTGGCCCAAACTAACCAATCCCAGCATCAGAATTCTGTACACCTGAGAGAGAATTTCCCAGAAAATTACTTCATGCTGCTCCCAACAGAAATACCCCACGTGGTTAAGTTTAACAATCAGGAGCTACTTAGTTGCTCATGGCAAATTCCACCATGGAGTTGACAAAGACTGATGACTAGAAAAGCCACACTCTGTAATTTACTACATTGCAGGGTACCTTCTGTACAGCATTTACATACACAGTTATGTCCTCAGTTTTGAAAACAATAATATTTAAAACATTAACTTTAAAATATGTCTGACATACATGCAGATGCAGTCCAGCAGACATTTAATGTAATATTAACATGAGTGATAACACTAGCATAGCAGGTGTCCCAGAAGTACTGGAAATACCGACATTCATGTATCAAGTGAGTTTTGTTTTCTGTTGTCTGTTGCACAGGAGACGTGCTTGATACGCTTACTTGT